ATTTGGATCACTTAAGTGCCAAAAGTTTACTCCGGCGATCACTTAAGTGCCAAATCGAAGAAAAAACGATCACTTAAGTGCCAACGGCGAGAAATTCCGATCAAATTTAATACGTGGCTTTTATATTTAAATTTTAATGACACGTGGCATTTCCATGTGTATAATTCAATTTTTTAAATATTTTTTTTCTGATTTTCTTCTTTCTTCTTATTTCCGATAGCCGGCGTCCGGCCACCGGCCACTGGCCATGGCCGGCCTCGCCGGGCATCGCCTTCCTCCGGGCGAGGCCAGGCGAGGCCGCCGTGGCCTCGGCGAGGGCCGGCCTCGCCGGATCTGGCGAGGCGAGCCCTCGCCGGGGCTCGCCCCGCCCGTGCGAGGGTCGAGGTCGCCCGGGTAGGGCGAGCCCGGCGAGGCCGGCCCTCGCCGAGGCCACGGCTGCCTCGCCGGCCTCGCACGGAGGAAGGCGAGGCCCGACGAGGCAGCCGTGGCCTCGGCGAGGGCCGGCCTCGCCGGATCTAGCAAGGCGAGCCCTTGCCGGGGCTCGCCCGCCCGTGCGAGGGTCGAGGTCGCCCGGGCGTGGCGAACCCCGGCGAGGCAGCCGTGGCCTCGCCGAGGGTCGGCCTCGCCGGATCCGGCAAGGCGAGCCCTCGCCGGGCTCGCCCCGCCCGGGCGACCTCGACCCTCGCCTAGGCAGGGCGAGCCCCGGCGACGGCTCGCCTCGCCAGATCCGGCGAGGCCGGCCCTTGCCGAGGTCACGGCGGCCTCGCCGGGCCTTGCCCAGAGGAAGGCGAGGCCGGCCATGGCCGGTGGCCAGACGCCGGCCATTGGAAATAAGAAAAAGAAAAGAAAAAAAAAGAAAAGAAAGGAAAAAAAAAAAGAAAGGAAAAAAGAAAGAAAAGGAAAAAAAAAAGAAAAAGAAATGCCACATCAGCCTCCGGCGAGCCACATCAGCTTGAGAAATTAATAAAAAAATGCCACGTCGGATTTCCGGCGAAGTGGCACTTAAGTGATTGTTTTTCACAACTTTTAGCACTTAAGTGATCCGATTGAAAGTTTTGCCACCAAAGTGGCCTCCGTACACAAGTTTTGGCACCAATGCTGTTCTTCTCCCTATGTATATATATATATGTAAGAACCTCAATTGACCGAATATTGGCTTCCAAATTCCACGTTTGAACTTTCCAAGTTTGCTGTTTTATTTCCTTCTTTCTCTGAAACTTTGCCGACTCAAGCAGGGAATTTCCTTGATTTCCTTGTTTGTTTATTTCCTATAATTGACCCAATCAATAAACCCAGTGAAGTACACTTTCCACGGTCCAAAGGTCCAACAAAGGACTTTCCTTTTCTGTCCTTCTATTTCACGATTCAGACTCCAACGTGAGAATAGCAAAATTGATGTGTCCGTATATTTCTTTTTACTTGATTTCGGACAACCGCAAATTATCCAATTTAGAATATTTAATAATTAATTTCGGATCGAATTTCATCTATCAAGCTTAAACTCGATATATATTTTAACAGTAGTGAAAATATCCCAAAAATTATTAAACAGCGACATGTGAGCATTCTTTATTTTTTGTGATTGTGGTTGTTCAAAGAGTTGGGGGCCATTTGAAATCCATTTATACTAGTTATCTCACTTGTGCTTCATTCACTTATAATGCCATTCAAAGGACATCGGAATAATTACCAAAAAATTACACTTGTGCCAATTTAGTCCTAAACCTTTCAATTGTACCAATTGAGTCCTAAACCTCTTCACGTTTTGTCAATTGAGTGTATCCGGCGTCCACGTCTACAGTTTCCTGCCAAAATTAGTCAAATGGTCTCAATTGGCAAAACGTGAAAATGTTTATAACTGAATTGGCACAAATGTAATAGGTTTATGATATTTTTGGTAATTTTCCCAATGACATCTGGTACGAGATGGGAGTTGAGGATTATTGAATTATAATATTTAAGGATTAGTACAATACCATAATCTAGGAAGAAAAGACGTCACGATGTTATGTTCCATGAGTCGTGGAAATATAGCTAAAAAATAAATTCTAAAAGATCTCTTAGACCTCGGGATAAGTACAGCGCAAGTGCCATAACTTTTGTACGGAGGACACTTAAGTGCCATAACTTTTTTTTGGCTCACTTGAGTGCCATAACTTTCAAAAAAATGATCACTTAAGTACCACTTATGAGCTGGTCGTGAGGGCCCGAAACCGCGGCTTTTCCGGCCGAATAATGACCTTCCCAGTAAGGCGAGCACCACCAGCTTGAAGAGGGGGTGTCGGTGAGTCATTCCATGGCCTCCGTTCGTCTCGAAATTTCCGTTTTAGCCTCCGTTGACGAAGGTAAAAATACTTCGTAGTCACACATTTATCGAGCCGATTTGTGTGACTACGAAGCATTTTTACATTCGTCAATGGAGGCTAAAACGAAAATTTCGAGACGAACGGAGGCCATAGAATGATTCAACGACACCCCCTCTTCAATCTGGTGGTGCTCGCCTCGCCGGGAAGGTCACCGTTTGGCTGGAAAAGCCGCGGTTTCGGGCCCTCACGACCAACCCCTCTGACAAGCTGGTCGTGAGGGCCCGAAACCGCGGCTTTTCCGGTCGAACGGTGACCTTCCCGGCGAGGCGAGCACCACCAGCTTGAAGAGGGGGTGTCGGTGAATCATTCCATGGCCTCCATTCGTCTCGAAATTTCCGTTTTAGCCTCCGTTGACGAAGGTAAAATGCTTCATAGTCACACAATTTATCGAACCGATTTGTATGACTACGAAGCATTTTTACCTTCGTCAACGGAGGCTAAAACGGAAATTTCGAGACGAACGGAGGCCATAGAATGATTCACCGACACCCCCTCTTCAAGCTGGTGGTGCTCGCCTCACTGGGAAGGTCATTGTTCGGCCGGAAAAGCCGCGATTTCGGGCCCTCACGACCAGCTCGTAAGTGGCACTTAAGTGATCATTTTTTTGAAAGTTATGGCACTCAAGTGAGCCAAAAAAAAGTTATGGCACTTAAGTGTCCTCCGTACAAAAGTTATGGCACTTGCGCTGTACTTACCCCCTTAGACCTCATTCGGTTTCATCCTGTCAAGCGCTACAATAGTTTCTTCAAATGCCGCAGCCAAATTCCAACTGCTCGCTCCATCATATGTTGATTTGGAAATCCCATACAGATTGGTATTTTCGTGAGGTGAGAATAGCTGTCGCTCCACAACACTTGGTCTTGATGCCGAGCTGGGTGTGCGATGACGATGTCTATGTCCGACCCCGCCATCGCGATAGATTCGCCGGTCTCGTATGCCAAGACCCAAGAACCATAGCCGAACAACCTCTGCCTCATGCGGACGAGATTGTCGGTGGTGCGCAGCATGTTGTCTCGCTCGAGCATGATGGAGTGGGCTCTCGTGATCCGGTCGAATGAATCGCACCTTTCTACTATGTCGATGTCGCCCGGTACCGCATCCGTGTCCTCTCGTGGACAATGAGCATAGATAATTATATTTTGTGCTCCGAGTCTCATGGTGAATTGAGATTTGGAGAGCGCAAGACAGGACTTCTTTTTCGGATAAGCAAACCAAGACTCGAGCTTTGCCACGACATGGAACTCGAGACTAGATCTGGTTCAACTCGTTGCCAAGGTTCCTCTTTGCCCGCGGCTGGCGAGGCTGGCCTCGCCCAGACCATCGTGTCGCGGGCAAGGCTAGCCTCGTTTGCGATGGCGATGGCCACCCCCAGATCCAAGTGAGGCCATGATCCTCTTACCCGCGGTCGACAAGGGTGTCCCGACCCTCGCCTAGGGGCCACAAGAGTGGCCCAATGACCATCACCCAGTGGCCGGCAAGGGCTCAGTGACCCTTGCCAACCACAGTAAAAAATAAGGTAAACAAGGAGAAGTGAAGAAAAGAAAAAACCATAAAAAGAAAAGAAAAGAAAAGAAAAGAAATAAAAAAATCGTAAAAAAATATTAAAAATTATCCATGTTAACGTCGGTCGTGCCACGTAGGATGGTCAGCATCCACGTAAGAGATTTCTGGCCAAAATTGGCCGGATGGACTCAATTGGCAAAACGTGAAAAAGGTTATGGCTCAATTGGTACAATTAAAAAGTTTAAAACTAATTTGGTAAAAATGCAATAGGTCTAGGACTTTTTGGAAAATTTTCCTTCGGGCAGCGAGTAATTAGGATATTGAAATTTCGCATTTTTTTATCTAAGTAATAAGGGTGTTGCATCTTCTATCAAAGGAATGTGCGAGCAATTGCAAATAAAAAATGTCCTCCTATCGATTTGTGATGGTATGTCTTAGAACCTTAATTAAATATTAGGAAGAAAGCCACAAAAAATTCCAAAATATGCCCACCATGACATATTTAGGCTGAGCTCTTTTTATGACATTAAAAATCCTAAACTATCCATACCGTGATACATTTACCCTAACTTTTTCTCGTGACATAAAAAGCTCCAAATTTATACCTATGTGACATATTTACCTTCCATCAATGTTTCGAAAGATGATTTTTCAGTCGAAATAACGTCGTTTTTATTTCACTTAAGCCATGTGAATACCATGTCAACAATGTTTGCTTTTTGGCATCGATTTAGACAGATTTTTAACAGTTCTCATTGACGAAACTTTAACGAAGGGTAAATATGTCATACAGGTACAAGTTTGGGACTTTTGGTGTTACCAAAAAAAGTTTAGGATAAATATGTCATAGTGGATATAATTTGAGGCTTTTGGTGGATTTTTCCCTTAATAATATGACGAAAGTGTTTGAAATTTAGCGATGTACTTGTGAGTCGTGATGTATGAAGTAAATCCTATGTAGAAAAAGTTTTCTTTGATTTTGAAGCACCTTGATCGGAATCCAAACTTATAAGCATACCATAAAATGAGAATTCAAAGGTGAGTTCTGAATCCCATGAAATAATTCACGAGACTATTGAAAAAAAAATCTGCGAAACCTATCTTCAATATTTTATGTGGACCATGATTAATTTAGTCAACATCACTCAAGCTCGTGGGCATCGCGAAACGGCACAACGGGCACATATTGCTCATCGTTAGCCATCGAGCGAGACAATCGTGATGGAACTCGTGCTTGCATGGCATGCTTGCAACTTCCACTTCACGTAGATTCATTTCTTCCAAGCATATCGCGCACGGCTCTCCGGTGCTGCCGTCCTCTCGCCAACCATTGTCTAGCTTCGTCTTCTCTAGCGCGTCGATGGCCTCTTGAGTCGCGGGGACCGTCCTGGAATTGCCAGGATATTCCATCGATTCTTGTATTGCCGCCTCCGATAACAATTCCAAGCCACGTCGCCTCCCCATGATGACTTTGCAGGCCATCTCGACCGGCATCTTCTGGAGGTGCAAGTACCGCTCGCTCCTCAACACGTTTTGCAAGTGCAAGGCCGAGTGCATGAAGATGCAGTCTACCAATTGCCCTTGAAGCGTAATGTAGGGGCTGTTGGTAGTTTGTTTGTAAAACAAACAATGAGGTGCCTTGTCCCACATCGAAAGGATGTGAGTGCGCACGTGGACGAGATTTGACACTAATCAACGATCATTTTTTATTTATTTATTAAATTTCGAATTTATTATTATAAAATAACCGTTTTGTCCTATTGAAACAATATGATTGTTCACAATAGAGTGGTGGTTATTTTTTAATAATTTAATTCCGAATTTCATATATCTTCTTTAACGTGACTTTTGATTCCGTACCAATTCACCATACATCTTTTCAATGAAGGGACGCCTTTGTTCGAAATGGTGTGATTAGTGAGTCGGTTTTTTGCATAGTTGAATATCAAGTCTCTTCATTCGGAATTCAGAGATACCTTTTCATTCAGAAAACTGCAGCCATCTTTTCTAATTGTTTCCTAGAGAGACCCTGGAGATATACCGAAATTGCTATTCGGTATTCTCAATCGAGACTTTGTTGTATCCCGGACGAAATTTGCCAGTGACCATTAGCAACTTCGTGGGGCAAATAATTCCTTAAAGAAAGTGATATCACGCCTCAAAGTCTGACTTCTTTGTTCTTCCCGATTCACGTTGATATTTTCCCAACAATTTTAAGGAATTATTTTGCAACAATGGAGTCAAAGTCAATTACACACTCTGTGCATGTCGGTGGCTCCCAAACATTTTGCTGCTCGAGATAATCTTGACAGCATATTTTGCGACGGAGAAGAAGATGAGGATGGTGGAATCTCGAATTGCAAGGCTAATCTCCCGGAGTAGAAGATGATGCTGGCGGTTATTGTGAGGCAGTCCAAACCGTGGCACGGAAAGAATGGGGGTTGCGTTTGGATTCAATGAAGCAGAAAGAAGTGAAAGGAATTCAATGGAAATGAGAGATATGAATGACTTTCCATTCTGTCAAATAAGATTCTCTATTTACTTTATGCACCATCTTAGACTGGATCTCGCTCATCTCCCGCGAACAATCTCTTGGAGAGGCCAAGAGTAGATGAGGGAAAAAATGCGTCACCATTAACAATAAGATCCAATATGGCAACAAGATATGTGAGGAGACAGAATTGAATAAGGCTCAGTGGAGCGCCTGTACCTACAATATATTGTTCTTTGGGTGGTGTAGAGTAAGAAATCCGACTAGAGGAATGAAGGTTCTGGAAGAGATGGGAAACAATGGTTATCCCCGACATTGTCACCTATAATTGCTTCTTAAGGGTTCTTTGTGACAACAAAAGGTGGATGAAGCAATTAGGCTTTATATGAAAATGACTGTGGTCCAGTGCATGCCCAGCGTGCAAACCTACAATATGTTGATCTCAATGTTCTTTCGGATGGGTGATCCTGAAGGAGCATATGAAACATGGCATGAGATGGGCGAGTTTGGGTAAACTACGTGGACCACGCGAAGGAGCGGCAGAGATGAGCGTGGAGTTGGCCAGGGGTTTGTAGGGAACAATGAGGCTGACCCTCGGCAACAAGAACTCCTTCCTCGCCAAGTACTTCGGGAGGGACTCGTACGTCGTGGGCAGGCTCCAGGGGCCGTGCGCGAGGGCGTTCGCGAGATTGGAGCATCTGAACGAGTACTTGCCCAAAGACAAGGACCCAACGCATGTCTGGTCAGTCATGTTGTTCGTCTCCGTCGTCGTGCTGCAGGTTAGTTGGTGATTCTCTCTCTGGATTCCTGATTTGTGCGAGGTAATTGTTTGATTGAGAAATGGATCATTGCATTCTGTCTATCGGTGTGGTTGACCCGTTAAGATAGTTTTTTACTATTGTTTGATCTTTCTGAGAATGAGAAAATTGGAGAATTCCATTGACTCTCCTCTCGGTGATTTGATATATATTATAGTTTTGTTGCCGATTAATTCGGATGCACACAATCGAAAGCGCTTATGAGTCGTCCTAATCATGGGACAATTTTTCGTTCAAGCGTTGGTTTGTCTTGGTGAAGCTATTGGAAAATTATTTGCGATAAGCTTCTGTTCGCATAGGCTTTTTGATTGTTAGTGGTGTGTAAATTGCTAGAACTAAACTATCAAAGGTGACCACAATTGCAAAATATGCTACTAGAAGGCCATATGATATATGCAGAGAATGCAGTACTGTGGTTTTGAACCATATTAAGTCACATTTATAAATATGCTTGTGGCATGTGTAAATTCTGGAATTATGATTTTGGATTAGATTTTTAGTGCATTTTTCTGCTATGAGATAGAAACGAGCGGATATGATGCAATTGCTCTTGGGCAATTGTGGAGCTGTTTGAACTTATTAGTTGATTCCATTTATGATCTTTGCATTTATCAAATGGAAGTCAAAACTGTTTTATTGAATGGAGATTTAAATGAGAAAATTTACATGGAACAATCATAGTGCTTTGTTCTTCCTGGAAATGAAAGGAAAGTATGTAAATTGATTAAATCTCTTTATGGGCTTAAGCAAGCAGCTAAGCAGTGGCATAAAAAAAATTGATTTAGTCATATTGTCTAATGGTTTCAAACACAATAGTGTTGATAAGTGTATGTATTCTAAATTCACTAATGATTATGGTGTCTTAGTGTGCTTATATCTTGATGATATGCGTATCTTTGGAACCAATATGACTGGAGTCATTGAGATTAATAAGTATCTGACTTTCATTTTTAAAGCGAAAGATTTGGGTAAAGTGGATACTATCTTGGATATTAAAGTTAAAAACATAGTGGGAGTTATTCTTTGAGCCAATGTGATTACATTGAAAAATGTTGAATAAAATTCAACATCTTGGTTACAAAGAGATGAATACTCCATTTGATTCCAGTATTAAATTAAATTATAATATCAGTAGAGCAGTGGCACAACTTGAATATGCAAGTGCTATAAGGTCTTTAATGTATGCGATGCATTGTATTAGACCTGATATTGCTTATTCCGTGTGTAAGTTGAGTAAATATATGTGTAATCCAAGTATAGAACATTGGAAAACTATTACATGAATTTTTTGTTATTATAGAGAACTAAAAAAAAAATTTGGGATTGTTCTATAATAATTATTCGGTTGTATTAGGAGGATACACCGATACTAATTGGATTACAAGCATGGGTGATAAATAATCCACTATTAGATGGATTTTCACATTTGATGGCTACGTTGTTTCTTGGACGAGCAAGAAACAAATGTGTATAACTCACTCAACTATGGAATTTGAATCATTACTTTAGCAGCAACTCGGAAAGAGGCTGAGTGGATTAGCAATTTGTTGTTGGATATCAAATTATGGCCTAGTCCTATGCCTCCTATTTCTATCCATTGTGATAGTCAGGCTACGTTGGTAAGAGCTTATAGTAGCACCTATAATGGGAAGTCTAGACATATTAGCCTAAGGCATGAGTTTGTGAGACAATTGATTAAAGATGGTACCATAACAATTGTCTACGTGAGGTCAAGTAATAATTTGGCTGATCCTTTGACAAAGGCATTACCAAGAGATATGGTAAAAATGACCTCACAAGAAATGGGGCTGAAACCCTTTAATTAAAATCACCAGTAATGGTAATCCGACCTTTTTCTAGAACATCACTAGTTATAAGGTTTAATGGGTAAAAACAAGTTACTGAAAAGTGATTGTTTGACACCGACGCTAGCCCTGATATGAGAAGTCGGTATCGTCTGTTACAGTTTGAAGGGTGAATTGAATTCTTAATGAAGTATTGTACAAATATGTAATGTGTTAATAGTAAGAGAAACACATGGTAGATACTTCACCTATATGAGCTTAGAAGTGGTGCCGCTTCTTATGAAAGTTAGGGTTGCTTTCTAGAGCGCTCATGAAACAGAATCAAGCACAAGGCCATAATAGTGCTAAGTAATATAGAACTTCTCGCTGAAACAAGAGGTTAGTATATGTGTGGTATGTCCGATTCTATTATTTAAAAGTACAAGTTTAAAGCCGAGCTACTTGTCACTTTGATAGAGTTTTGAGATACTTGCACTAAGTAAAGGTTTAACTCGAAAGAGACCTTTATGTATATATATTAATCTCACGGAAATTTTGGCTGTATATTTTTAACGTTTTATTTCAATTTTTTTTTACAAACAAAGTGGGGGATTGTTGGTAGTTTGTTTGTAAAACAAACAATGAGGTGCCTTGTCCCACATCGAAAGGATGTGAGTGCGCACGTGGACGAGATTTGGCACTAATCAACGATCATTTTTTATTTATTTATTAAATTTCGAATTTATTATTATAAAATAACTGTTTTGTCCTATTGAAACAATATGATTATTCACAATAGAGTGGCGGTTATTTTTTAATAATTTAATTCCGAATTTCATATATCTTCTTTAACGTGACTTTTGATTTTGTACCAATTCACCATACATCTTTTCAATGAAGGGACGCCTTTGTTCGAAATGGTGTGATTAGTGAGTCGGTTTTTTGCATAGTTGAATATCAAGTCTCTTCATTCGGAATTCAGAGATACTTTTTCATTCATAAAACTGCAGCCATCTTTTCTAATTGTTTCCTAGAGAGACCCTGGAGATATACCGAAATTGCTATTCGATATTCTCAATGGAGACTTTGTTGTATCCTGGAGGAAATTTGCCAGTGACCATTAGCAATTTCGTGGGGCAAATAATTCCTTAAAGAAAGTGATATCACGCCTCAAAGTCTAACTTCATTGTTCTTCCTGATTCACGTTGATATTTTCCCAACAGGGGCTGGCTGTGCGATCGGCGATCACAAGAGATACCTCAAGGAGCAATCGCTGCTTCACCAAGAGGAGGTCGTACAGGCTGCGCCGGACATTTCGTCGCTGGAGAATGAGGAAGTGGGTTCGCGTGAACCTGTCCCAGAAAAAGCCGCTTCGCCCGTTCTCGCAGTCCTCCGGCAATG